GGGGCCCCGCCAGCGAGGCCGGACCCAGGTAGAGTTCATTCTTTCGGTGATTCAGACTATATCACGGGGGATGAGGTGAACTGAAGCTGTCGGGCGTAGGACTCAGAGTGAGGCGGAGCACAGTCCTGCCACACACGCCGCCGGAAGGGCACGTTCCGCAACCCGAGGTTCCAGGCGACCATGAGACCATGCTAAGGGTATGTTCGCAAAGTTTACCGCTCATCACTTCGGGCGGCGGCTACGGCGGCTGCAACGGCGACGGACAGACACCCCGCGTGAAAGGGGTAGCTACCGGACACCGCCCGCTTAGGGTCCTTTCGGCTCCGCCGGTCATCTCGACCATGGAAGCGCGCTGGCTGCGTGGGTTGAGGCATGCGTCCCCAAGCAGGAAGCAAGGGTTCGATACCCACTTGTGCCATGCACATTTTTCCGTGTCACCTGGACAAGACAGAGGTGAGCAAGGAAAAAGGAGGGGGCTACACTCCAATCATATTGATTTTAAAAAAGGACTTCCCTCTCGAGATGATCTTCATACGCACTAGACATTACACTCCGTGGCGCGCATCACATACTCACACACGCGGCGCGCGACCGGGCGCGTAAAATGTCAGGAGTGGGGTTCGAACCCACAGGGGACCTGCTCTTGAGGCAGGCGCCTTAACCACTCGGCCACCCTGACATACGATCCTCGATCACTTAGGCCCTACTTAGATTTGAGTTAGGTCCTCGAAAGACGCCCTGCTGATCGTCGATCACTTAGGCTTGAGTTAGGCCCCCGGACCACCTGTGCGGTTAGGTTCGGAGTTAGGCCCTGATAAGACCGATGACACACTGATCAAAACGCCCCCTGACTTGGGCCCCTAAGTTAGGGGTGGGTTAGCAACCCCTAAGACGGCGTTAGGTTAGGTTAGAACCCCACAAGATGGCCACCCGTTACATTGGGGGGTAAAATGGCGACCCGTTACATTGGGGGGTAAAGATGGCCGCCCGTTACATTGGGGGGTCTATACTACTGCCGGTGATGTTGGTGGCGACGGTGTCGCTGTCACTGGTGGCGCCGGTGATGATGGCCGCTTATTCGGTAGCTCACCGATGCCATCGCTGCTGCTAGCGCTGCTGCTAGGCTTGCGCATGGGGCTAGGGGCCTTGCTGCGAGTCTCGGGTGGCTCAAAGCTCTTGAAGTCACGGGGAGGAGGAGAGTAATTATTGGAAAAAGCCCCGTAGCGAGGACTTCGGCTGCGGCTGCGACTGCGACTGCGGCGGTGACTTCGGCTGCGGCCGCGGCTGCGCCGGGGACTTCAGCTGCGGCTGCGCCGGGCCCTGCTGCTGTTGTCCGTGCTCGCTAGCTCCGCGGTGCACATGATAATAGTCGTGGTAGCAGTCACCGTCGTATCCACCTCGGTCGTCGTTACGGGGCTGGCTGCTGCTGGGCCGCTGCCCGTCATATCGGTCCAGCTCTGGACGATGAGGGGCCCTACTGCTTCCGCGGTACTCGCGGTACACGCGGTAGGGCTCGCGTGGCTGAAAGCCAGTTACTTAAAAGTGCAGAAGTACTTCACAACACTTTACACGTTGAGTGCGGCGGGGGTAGGCAACCCCATGTTAATGGGACCTACGGTGTGGGTCACGCCAAATCTCAATCGAGAATCGATCTTGAAAGTAGATGATACAAGTTTATGAATAGGGCTATGTTCCTATTTTCTCTCATCAGCTGCTATTTGTTTGGTTGCTCGCAATCTTGCAATTCGGCTGCCTAGTGGCGTAGAGGAGGACATTTGGGGAGCGCAGGGGGGCAGGGCGGCCAGCAGCCCAGTTGTATTGTTGGGCAGGGAAGGGGTTGGGGGCCCATCCAGCGCAGTATTGTTAGCGCGACATCCCGAGATGCCCCCTAGCACCCAAACGGTACAAGATAGAGCAAAACGGACGGAATTTTCGTCCAAGGAATTCTACTTTCACGAGTTACCCCTTAGGAGACCATAAAAAAATAT